CCGTGTCCCTCCCGTGTCCCTCCCGTGTCCCTCCCGTGTCCCTCCCGTGTCCGTGCCGTGTCTTTTATGCCACTCTTGTCGTGCCCCTCCCGTGTCCCTCCCGTGTCCCTCCCGTGTCCCTCCCGTGTCCCTCCGGTGTCCTTCCCGTGTCCCTCCCCGTGTCCCTGCCGTGTCCCTGCCGTGTCCCTGCCGTGTCCCTTATGTCACTCCTCCCGTGTCCCTCCCGTGCCCCTCCCGTGTCCCTCCCGTGTCCCCCCCGTCCCTCCCGTGCCCCCACTCCTCCCGTGTCCCTCCCGTGTCCCTCCCGTGTCTCTCCGCATGCTTCCTCCGTGTCTACCCCATTGGGTGTTATCAGGATGTTGTCTGGGTGTTGTCTGGGTGTTGTCTGGTGTTGTGTTGTGTTGTTCTTTGTTGTTTTCTTTTTTTGTTTTTGTTTTTTTTGTCCTGTGGAGGACTTCCTCCTCGGTGTTGCTGGGTCGGGCCCCTCGCCCGAAACGAAGTATGATGGCGAAAGCTCTACACATTCTGCTCAATTTCATGCTGAATTTACTCCAGGGGAGTTGGAGACACAGTTCCATGTATCACAGTGGGATCCGTTGGTTGGTGGGGTTAACGACCGACGCAAAGGGGGAAATCAGCTTCTCGTGTCGCTGAGGGGAGCCGTCACGACAAGTTGCAATCTGAGATTTCTTCTATTCGCGCTGCGGTCCTGGAGTTGTCCAAGGTCGCTGGCATCCAGGTTGACGTTCAGGAAACCCCGAAGACTCGACCTCGGAAGCAGAAAGTACAACAAGTTTCACCGACCCTTCTGAAGCTCAAGGAGTGGCTGAGGTGGGGCGAACGCAAGAAGATGGTGGTTTCGGAGGCGCAGGTGATCTCGGGACTTCGGAAGGTTCTGGACCCCAAGGCCCCCACTCCCACACCAGCTCCACCGCAGCAGGCTCAGGTCGTGGACAAGCGTCCCGTTTTGACGCCTCAGCCGTGGCAAGGAGCTCCGATCGTGAAGGCCCCTGCCGTGCGCCAGGCCAGTTTCACGGACCCGACCGTCATCGCGTGCCAGTCGCCAGGGGAGTATAAGGCGGCGGCCGAGCGATTGGCGGGTCTCTCTTCGACGTCGTCGATCACGTGCGTACTTCTCAATCAGACCGACCTCTTTGACGGCTGGACAGCCTCGGAGGTGATGGTCGACGGTCAGGCGGAGGCTTTCGCCCACTTCGAGCGCAGCTACTTCAAGTTGGGCCGGGCCCGCCTGTCCGTGGTGGATTGCCTGCAGGGCTCAAAGATGATGAAGCTGTTTCTACACCCACGCTCTCCACGAGTGCTTTGAGATTGACTGCGGCCCTCGACTTTGCGGACGATGGCTTCTTCAGTGGTGCTCGGGACAGTCCCCCTCCCGTCTCTTCTCTTCGGGGGCGCCGTGGCGAGGAAGAGATTGAAGACCAAAGCGGCAGTTGCCTGCGACACGGAGGCGACTTGTATACTGATTACTCGCGAGGAAGATGTGGGGGGCTTTCTGGCATGGAAGCCTCCTACAGGAGCATTTCTCAACGTGCAGGGCAGCAAGCTGGTCCCTGTGTGGCATTGCTTGCGTGAAGACGAAGCTCTTCCTCAATTTCATGCGAGGGTTGCATCGGTGGCTGATTCGGCTTCGGGCCGACTCGTCTGCCGCCCTTCTCACGACTCCAGCCTCGGCGTCTTGAGCGAGAAGCCCGTTTCGGGGGACGTCCTGCCGCGGTGGTGGCTCAGAAGTGCCCAGAGACCTGGACCGACGATGGGGGGCTTCAAGAACTGGGCGATCCAGCGCGGTTTCGTGAACGTTTCTTCGATTTCCCGTACTTCCAGGCGTGCTTGGTACATGCGTGCCGATTTGCCTGGAGCTCCACGGGGCCAAATCTGTAATTTTACGTCTGGGATCATTGCTGCGCTGGCGCCGCCTCGTAGAGGCCAAGCTAGACCAGCTCCGAAGACCAAGGGGGCTACAGCCTGGGGTACGCCAGCACCCTCCAGGCCAGCCCTTCCAACTCCAGTGGCGCCGACTCCCGCTGCCCCAACACAGCAGGACAGGGGCGGCGACATCAACATGGGCGCAGACAACGCTGGAGCTCCAACGACAGGCGCGAGGCCGCCGGCTGCCGCTGCGGCGCCTGCTCCGACTCCAGCGGCGGTGGAACCGCCTTGGCAGAAGTACTTTGATAAATTGGACTGTGGTGGGAATGGTGACTGTTTCTTCTTGTGCATGGTCGCTGATCAACGCCTCAAGACCACGGGCCCCAAGCTGGCCTCACCAGCTGACCTGAAGCCTGGTGGACCCCTTCCAAGCGAGCATGCGGACCCTCTGTGTCAGTGAGATCCGCAACCACCCGAAGCTTTGAGTGAAGGCGGCCGAGCTTTCAGAGGTTGCCTCCAAGGCGGGCAAGTACTCTACTTCCGACATGGCGCGGGCAGTGGCCCACGCGCTCAAGACCGACATCATCTTCTTTAAGAAGGGTGAGAAGTCCTT